GCCAGGGATTTGCGTCAGTAAAATTAAAATTCTGGAACCTCCAAATACTAAGCAAACAACACACACTAGGATGTTCCATGTCTAAATGTTGCTTACTTTGCATGATTTATTCTGACTGGCACAAAAGAACAGTTCTTTCTCAAGCTCTGTTCCCCAATGTCTGGGGAAACCTGTCCCATTGCCAGGCCTAATTTCTGAGGCCGTGCCAAGTATTAGACTTTTATTGAATAAGCCCAGCCCTCCTCCTATAACAGGTAGAAGCTTGGATTTTAAGTGAAGCAAAAGCACGAAATACGTTCTGCCAGTAGATATCTTGTGAACAGTTACATAGAATCCTATTTGCCCTGGGGAAAGTACGCATCACGTATGACAGCTCATGCTGCAGAGGGTGTCCATCCTAGTCTGCAACTTCATAACAGGACTTGTTTTTCTCAGCTGAGAAGAAAACTTTTAAAACTCAATTCCAACCTTTCTGAACTTTTAAATTTACTTTCATGCCTATTCTGTTTTGAATTTCTCTTCTCCCATGGTCACAGCAGGTGGCAAGCAAACTTGGTTGATCTTGGAAAAATTAAATACCATTAGTTAGATCTAGCTAGTATTTAGATAGAAGGCTGGACTGGGAAATTTAAAAAATAAATTGAACGAAAGCAATGATGGAACTGATTTACATGTGTTACTGTTGTTAAGATGACTGCATGTCGTAAGATGTTGAGTTCTACTCAAGACACTTTACTTTTAACCTTTCCCCTTTTATTTTCTTCCATTTATGTCTGATTCTCTGCAGTTTTCTTAGCAAGAGTTTTCAGACTGCCTCTTTCCTGGGGCCAAGAAAAAGTAACTGGCCCAAAGTCACCCAGCTGGTTTTATATCCAAAGCAGGACTAGAATTCACCGTCTCCTAGTTTCTAGCCTAATTGCCTTAGTCCTTGCACCAAACTGGCTCTTACCCTAAGTCAATACAAATTTTAAATGGTTTTGTGATTTTTAATGGAAATAAAAACATGTTTTGATTTCCACTTTTCCCTACTGGCATACCTTTTTATTTAGTCTCCGATCATAAAAGCAATGCATTCAGATTCTGAAGCTGGCACATTACAGTGACCATTACAATGTGACTGAACGAGTGACTTTCAATGGTCAATCTTTTTGCTCTCAAGCTTTATTAAGGAGACAGAACCCTCTGAACAGTTCAGAGTAATTAGCAGGTTCTAGAGTACCATTGCATGCTCTTCAGGGCTGCTCCTAAAGTAGTAATGTGGGGCATGTTCAGGTAGTACACGCATGGCCAATTTGACGAAATGACAACCACAGGCAGGCTAAATCACTTGAGAGGGAATGGCAGTGTATCTGCCACAGATGTGGGATGTTCACCTATTGTGTGTGTCACTTTCAGAGCAGCATACCTGATCAAAACAGGGATTAAGAAGGATTTACATCTAACAGGGAGGTTAGAAATGACTAACATGAGTGATCTTACTTGTATTCTGACACAATTTGGCTAACCTGTTTCAGGCATTCTTTCAGGATTGAAAAAAGATGTGATTTGGATGGGCACAGATGGAAACTTTTATCTCACTTAAGTCTGGCTCTGGCTACAGCAAAGTGGGTTTTATTTATTTACAAGATTTGTACAGGTATCCTTACGTATCAACTGCAATTGGGACTGGCAATTCTGTCGCTAAGCAATGTGATCGTAAAGTAAAACGCCACTCGCCTGACATGACAACCCAGCTTACAACACCAGTTTCACTTGTGGTTGTGAATCAAATCACCTATGTTTGTTAAGCACAATGTCACGTGACCTTGCTACTTCCTGCCAGCTTCTTCATTGACTTTGCTTGTCAGAAGCTGGCTGTGAAAGTTGCAGATGGTGATCATGTGACTATAAGATGGCTGCAGGTTTGAGGACAGGTCATAAATTTTCAGTTCCATTGTATTTTCAAATGGTTGCTGAACAAACAGCAAACAAGAATTATCTGGATGGCCATCCATTTAAAGCACAGCTCTGGGTGGCTCACAACAATAATAAAACTACAAAACAATTAAAAAATGATTTTTTTAAAAAAAAAGGTGCCTCATCCATCATCCTGGGATATGCCCCCAACAAGCCATGCACAGGCTCCCATTCCACTCTTTCCAAATGCTGGAGGAAGAGCCAGGTCTGTAAGGCCTAACAGAAGAACAAGTATGTGGAGATGCTACCCAGATCCTAAATGCCACTAGGTGACAGTATTTAATCTGGAAAGAATGTGGAATGTAGTTCTGAACAAACTGGCAACACTGCTATTAATAAGCACAATGGAAGATAATGGTCAATCTTTGGTTAAATTTATTTATTTATTTATTTATTTATTTATTTATTTTTGATTTATATGCTGCCCTTCTCCGGAGACTCAGGGTGGCTTACAAGGCGTTAAGCAATAGCCTTCATACTTTTGTATATTTTATACAAAGTCAGCTTATTGCCCCCACAAACCGAATCCTCATTTTACCCACCTTAGAAAGGATGGAAGGCTGAGTCAACCTTGAGCCTGGTGAAAATTGAACTCGCAGTAATTGCAGGCAGCTGGAAGCTAAATACTACCTTTAACAGTAGCATTAGTCTGCTGCGCCACTCGGATATTGCTAGATATCCATTTCAGACACTGATTATTTGACTTATTATGGAGTGTGCTTTGTATAATTACTTGCTGTACTTCATTTTCCCTGCCTTCTGAAATGAGGCTAGAAGAGTGGCATAATGTTGTTCATTAATCCATTTAGTTTATGGATTGACACTTGTTTTTATTTGCGCACTTATCTTTAAGTGACGGTTCTCTTTTCAAATTAATTTAATCCCCAAATGCTAAACTGCATCGGACCATTATTATCTGTTTATGGTTGCTACCATTTAAAAAAACAACAACAACATAGGATTGATTCTTGTCAATTGGACTGCCCATAATTGATGCCTTGCATGAACTGCTTAAATGGAACTGGAGATACTTGCTACAAGTGGAGTGATGGTTTGATCCACTACTTATAGCTTATTATAAGTAGTGGATCAAACCGTCACTCCACTTGTAGCAAGTATCTCCAGTTCCACTAACTGACTGAGGTCTAGGATGATTTCTCCATCAACCATGTATGCTTTTTCCATCTCTTGATGCAAGTCTATATTTGCTACCAGCAACATTTCTGTTCTGGAACTTATTGTTCTAGTGCAGGGCTGTCAAAGTACCAGCCCGCAGGCCGGATGTGTCATGTCCTGATCACGGCCACGCCCTGTTTAGCGAAGGGGAGAAAGTTTTGATAGGCCACAGTGATGACACGAGGTTGACACCCCTGTTCTAGTCACCCATCCTTTTTAAAGACAGACTGATTGAATGGGAAGAGTACATATTAAAAAAAAATTACAAAATTTTAAACATTGAAGCAATTTTAAGAAGTTAGTATGTAGAATAAATCAAAGCTTTCCATGCAGTCTTAAGCCATCCTAAGAGAGTTTACATAATAAAAGGCTATGAGCAGCACTAGGCATAGTATGTGGTGGAAATATTACCATAAATGATAACACTGGCATTATCCAATAGGAGCCCATGCTACCTAACTGATACACTTCTGTTGTAAGGTCAGGCCTATTAAAACTGGTAAAACCAGTTTACCCACAGAGCAAAGCAGAAGCAATATGTCTGAAAAACAGTATTTTGAATTTAACAATTTATGGCTAAAGGTACTGGCAAAATAGTTGATCTCAGTAGCAGCCAAATCTTTTTGAATAAGATTGCCTTTTAGACACAAAAATTGGGGAAATACTTAATCTGTGAGACAAACTTATTCTTTCAGGGGAAATTAGGTACTAAAAATGGAGAGTTTCACAAATGAATGAGCAGATGTGTGCATTAGAGAGAGAATAATAGGAAAGCATGTCTTAAGGATTCTTCAGCTCTCTTGTGAGCATACACCTCAGCTCTCCTTAGGATATAGTGGGCATTTAAATCTGTATTTGCTCTCAGATTGCTATGCAACATGCAAATCAGGGGTGAAATCCAGCAGGTTCTGACAAGTTCGAGAGAACCAGTAGCAGAAATTTTGAGCAGTTGGAGAACTGGTAGCGGAAATTTTGAGTAATTTGGAGAACTGGCAAATACTGCCTCTGGCTGGCCCCAGAGTGGGGTGGGAATGGAGAATTTGCAGTATCCTTCCCCTGCCACACCCACCAAGCCACGCCCACAGAACCGATAGTAAAAAAAATTGGATTTCACCACTGATGCAAATCCTATTTCCAAGTAAATAGGAAAGGAACAGATTTCCGCAAGAGAGGTGGTGAGTTAGTGTTTAATGCCCATGTTGAATCATGATTACAGAGTCTTCACTGCCACTGAGATCTTAAACTGCAGTCCTGTAGTCTTATTCACATTGTAAAGCATAATCAGCCAGGGATCCCTTTTTTTAGGGAAGGATTTCTGAAAAAAAAATCTCTATCTCTAGTACAGGTAGTCCTTGATTACAACCATTCATTTACTGGCTGTTTGAAGTTACAGCAGCACTAAAAAAAAGTAATTTACAACCCGTTTTTCCACACTGATGACCATTGCAGCATCCCCATGTTCAAGTGATCAAAATTCGGACACTTTGCAACTGGCATGTATTTATGATGGTTACAGTGTCCCGGGGTCATTTGATCCCCTTTTGGGACCTTCTGACAAAGCAAACTCTATGGGCCAGTCTGATTCAATTAATTACTAACGTAACAACTATGGCAAGAAAAATGGTAAAACGGGGCAAAACTCACTTAAATTTTGGGCTCAATTGTGGTTGTAGATTGAGGAGTATCTGTCCACAGGAGAGAAAACAGCGGCCTTGTAAGAATGTTCAGCTATCAATCTTCCAAAATAGTATTGCCAATGATAAAAATGAAAGACTAGGGAAGCAAGAAATTGCTTCTCATATAGTTTCAAAAATGAAGTTGGCATTTCTTTTCTTCAGCTGTGTTGTAACATTTCTCTCTTTTTAAAGTTTTAGGCTTGGAATATTAAAAGGCCAAAAGAAGTTTGAGGACTTCCTGAGGGACTACAGAAATATTCTTTGATCTACGTGTGATCCAAGTTCACACTTCTCACAAAAATGCCTATATTGAAGCAGCTGGTGACAAACTCTGCTAATCCTAAACGCCGGTCTCGGGCTGATCTGACAACTGAGATGATCAGCGCTCCTCTTGGCGATTTCCGTCACACCATGCATGTGGGTCGGGCTGGGGATGCCTTTGGAGATACCTCCTTCCTCACTAGCAAGGGTGGGGAGGGAGAACAGGAAGCTACGGAGGAGACCGGTTCCTTCTCGAAGCCTGGCCTGCTCTCACGGAGGTTTCGCAGCAGCAAGCGGTCTCATTCTGTGACACGTGGTGACCGGCGGGACATGCTGGGCTCTCTGAGGGATTCAGCAATTTTTGTGAAGAATGCAGTATCCCTACCGCAACTCACGGAGAAGGAAGCAGATAAGAGTGGCAGGAAGCAGCTACCTAAGAGCCTCTCCTCCAGCCCTGTGAAGAAAGGCCCCGAGGAGAACATCCTCGAAGAGAAACACACAAATGGTGCTGCTGAAGTCCTCAACTCTAAACCCTACAGTCCTGGCTTGGAAGAGCGTGATTTTGGGGATGTGACTGATTTGCCTTTAGTCATCCCCAAGGACAGCTACGGCATGAAGCATGCCGAGTCGATCCTTTCTTTTCATATTGATCTGGGACCTTCCATGTTAGGGGACGTCTTGAGCATTATGGATAAGGACTTGTGGGAACAAGAGGACTCTGGTTATCATGGAGCGGAGGATCCCCAAAGGGAAGCTGGCCCAACAGAGACATCAGCAGCCCGGTGGTTTAGCCACGAAAGCAAACTTGTCTTGGATTCTGTGATTCAAAACGATGGCCACCGAGTAGTCACTTACAGTCCTGGATCGGCTCGCAGCGTCACCAGTCGTACGACAATAGACAGCAGTTCGGTCTCCAGCTGTGTGTCCATGGGGGAGGAACAGCGAAGCTTAGCCTCTAAAGGACCCAGCCACAGCCTTCCGAGTAATGGGAGGCATAACCTTGTGAAACAGCCAGAGAAAGAGTTCTCTTTCATGGATGAGGAAGATGATGAGATAAGAGTATAAAAAAGCCGTATACTCCCTTTGAGTTGAAGGAGAAAATGCAGTTGAATCTGGAATAAACAGCACGATACGAAGAGGAAAAAAAAGTGTTAAATGCTTTTGCCAGCCTTCTTAGGCTGCAGATTTCATCATTATTTTCTTAAACAGGCTGCTGGAAAGTTGTTGGGTTTTTTTCTTCCCCATTTGGGGTTATTTGCAAGGGTCAAGCTGGAAATCACATATAAATGGTGTTCTGTATATTTAAAATAATTTATTCCTATGTTCATAGGGATGCCTAAAGTAGGTTGCTAGGAGATATTTGGAAAAAAATGTTTCCAAGCAGAAATCTGACATATTCAAACTTTTTTTTGAAAAGGGTAGCTCTTGGTTAACTTATCTACTTGCCTGTTTAAAGCAATACAGAGCTGAATATTAGGACAAAGCTCAAAAGCACTAGTTTCTCTATTAATACACACATATATATATATATATATACACACACACACACACATATATATATATATATATATATATATATCCTTTACCTTTATACTAGTGCTTGTAAGATTTTTTTTTCTTTTGTATTTCCAAGGAGAATTCTTTTCTGGACCTTGCGGTAGTCTGCAGGTTGTTATATGTTTGCAGAAAGGGAATAAAAACAGGAGTTTGAAATAACCAAATCTTTCAGATCTACACATTTGGATGCTAAATAATTTTCTTCTTGTGGGCATACCTCTGGAAGTATTTATCACCTTTGGAAATCTCATTGTATTTCTTTTTTTAAAAAATCATATGGCAGAAGTTTTTGGAAAACAGATTGAGAAGAACTACACCTCTTATATCTGCCATCTACAGCAGGATCTTCTCTTAGTTCTTGAGGGAACCAGAGATGGAAAGAATAAAAATGATAACCTAGCTTGAAACAGACTTCCCCATTTCTAAAATTTGTCACCCATTTAGAGTGACCATGTGGCTCTTTCTAGGAAAGCAATCTTGGAGATGCATAAAGCTGCTGAGGGAAGAATATCCAACAAGGTTGGTCAGCCTGGCTACCCATTACTTATTAACTTATTTTCCTCTTCAGGATTTTCCTTTGGGTAAGCAGACAGGATGTCCTAAAAACTGTCTTATTTCATTAGATCAATCCTTGGGGATACGGGGACGGGAGATAGACAATTGGGTGAATGCTACTGACTTGCATGCCTTCAGATGTAAATGTAAGTCCCCCAAGTAACCTAACCAGATAGGGCTTCATTCTTTCTTAGTTTTTATTTCTTTAGAATGTATCAGCAGAGCTGACCGAAGCACAAAAAAGCTTAGCATTTGTCATTCCAGGAACAATGGAGAAGGGCAGTGCTGAGTTCCTTTCCTTTGAAACTGTTTTCAGTTAACTACCTTCCCAGCATCTTTAGGAGGTGCTCCTAACATTCCTGTCTCAAAGATGGATTTTATTTAGGGCTGGTGGGTGGGGGTATTTTTTTTTGTTGGCATTTACATTTTGCTGGGCATTAAACACTAAATTGCTTTCTTATTTTTTTAGATTTATATATATATATATCCTATATATATATGCTATGTATTAGATTGGCCCAGTCCTGTCAGAGAAGGAGTATTCCTTGGTTGTGACTTTCTTGTGTATGTACATGGTATTTGTTCCATGCATCTGATGGAGGATTTAAAAAAAACAAAAAACAAAACAGAAATGTTTGTTTTCAAATGCAAGGAAATTAAACTATAGTGAGGAAAACAATCATTTTAAATGTGGAATTTTTTTTTATGTGCTTGGGAATAAAGGATTGAAAGGAGACAGCAACCACATGATTCAATATTTCATTATATAAAGATGGCTAGTTAAAAACACCCGAATGGCATAAGATGTAAAGTGCAGTGGTACATTTTTCTGATCTTGCATCTTTGTTGTGGAAAAAGAACGATTCCTACAATCTTATCCTTTCCATACATTTTTAACCAGGTAAAAATAGAACTTTCATCATTGGCCAAGTAGGCTAGGACTGAGAGGAACTGGAGGTTAAACAAAATCTGGAAGGCTATCCCTCTTCTGTGATGTTAGATTTTTCTTCTTTTCATATCCTCTTTACCTTGTTTACTTCATTCTGGCTATAGTTGTCTACCAGATTGATCAGAATCTTTGCAGTCGAGGATAACAACCTGGGGCAACAAAAGCTTTGCTTCATTATGTCACCTATATGTAATTTGGCCTCATACTCATATCCTGCCTCCATTCAGCAATAGTTCACGGAAGTAGTTTTCCCATAAACCCCAGGCAGTATTGGCAGTTGGGATGGGAATTGTAATCCAAAACATTGACCGGATATAAGGTTCCACCAATATTACACTGAGCAAGGTATATCCCTGTCTGGAACATTGAATGGTTTGAATCCCAATAGCTAATAAAACATTACTTCCTCCTCTTTTGGAGGAATATATGGAAGCCTATAAGAATTGCCAAGTCAAAAACAGGCTGATGACACTGAATTAAAATCTACATATAATTTCTGCTATCTGTCAGCAGTTGCAATCTATAAAGCATTTGAACCTCACAGCAAGTTACTGTAATTCACTGGTAGACCATAAACCACCTCTTCCAAAACGTCAAGGTATAAACAAGTAATAACCTTCTTTCCTCCCCACACACGCACATATTTGAACTGATAATGTTACCTTGTTGGGTAATGAAATATCTGCAAATAAACAAGCTTAGAGAGCATCAAGACCTCCATAGTTCAACCTTGAACTCCTGTATTGAGACCAACAGAACTTCAATATTCAGCTTGGTGAGCCACAATTCTACCTGCCTGCCATGATCTAAGACCACTGTAAACTGAAACATTAGACAATAGCATTCTTTTCGGGGACACCAACATTTTATTGCTTGCAAGTTACTCTCTTTTTCCGTTTGTTCTATAATCTTCTCAAAAAATTATCCTCCTCCTAACTACAGAGCCATCCGAAGAATGACAGCTCTTCTCCACTAAATGGTATCAACATGTACGTATTCTTTATATTAAAACATATGTTTTGTGTATACCAGCAGATGGCAGTGGTTTGTAAAAATGTATCTCATCCACCTGCAGCTGTTTCTACTCTAGCCTTGACCTTAACTGCCTAAGGTGCAGTCCTCCAATTCTTGTACAACCTGCCTTAATCTATAAAGCCTCTCACAGTGCTCAAGGCACAACACAATGGGAATGTGGGAGGTCCTGATTGACCCTGCTTTGTCCTCTAGGGAAGGTCAAACCTGATCTCTGTGTTCCTCCTGACACTTGAGTGACAACATGTTGTCATGGCAAGGCTAATAAGAGTTGGGTTTCAGTGATTGGAGCCACTAGAAATGTGGCTTGACTCAGGCTTTCCTTGTGATGTGTTGGTTTACAATGGCCTGAAATCTTTATGCAAACAAGTTTTGAATCAGTTTTAACTGAGTATAATGCAAATGACAGGGAAAGAGAATGGCCTATATCTGGTATGCGTAAATGTAGCTTAGGAGTGATAATGGACTGATTTGTAAAGAGAAATGTCAAACGATATCAAGGCTCTACTGTATCTCCACTCTTCCAGCGTGCCAGAGTCAGCTCCCTGTTGTGTAAGCAAATACATAAGCAGACAATGCAGGATCTATCTGATGCTTAATCCTCATTACAACAGAAATGCTAGTCTGGGACACTGATCCATTGTTTTAGGAACAAATAAAAGCAGCCTCTGGTTAGGGAAGGCCTTTTAAACTACTGAATGAGAGATTCGATCTGCTGTTTCCTAAGTAGCCAATAAAGCAGGGTATGTCTGCACCTTCAGATAAAAGGGAAGTCTTCTACTATAATCTTGAAGCTCTGAAGAAAGGAAAATTACACACACTATGCCCCTTTGGAATCTTATGTAAGCTCCTATATGTATTGGGTTAGATACATATATACATATAGGGTGTCAAACTTGTGGCCCGTGGGATAGATGCGTCATGCACAGGCCATGCCCATCCCAGCTCTGTGAATGGGGAAAACATCGCAAAACATCACGTGATGGCAATGTGACATGGCGAGTTTGACACATGAGTTAGATGATCATTTTTGACTAGCATGCAACACACAATTCTCTTGTTTAAGGCATTACATAAATGGTATGTGCGCTTTTCAGCTGTATTTCTGCAAGTAGATCATCTGAGATCAACAAAATTGTTCACAGGCTTTCAACTTTATTAATTGAGTAAAATTCTATTTCTTCAAATAATGTTTCTATTGTGATGGTGGTCAAGCTGCTTTCAAGAAGTTAAGGACCTTTGAATACTGTTGTCAGGTGCAAACAACCAGACCCACATTTGTAGAGTTCAAACTATTTTATTGTTCTATGCCTATTTCACAGGAATCTTCCCAAACTGGCAGCTTTCACCTTGAAAAAACTAGACTAGGCTCAGACATTCAAGGGGATGTCAGACCTTGCCCTCTTATGTTTATGCAATAATTCCAGACTAATTTCCTGCTTGATACCTCCTCCATGCTGGAAAGGTTGTTCTCCAACAACTGTAAATGTTTGTAAAAGACTTGTCACAAGTAAAGCACTAGAGAAGGTAATTTCCATAATTTGTCTTTCTTAACTTCATACTATATATAAACAAACTAGGAAAGAATTATTAGAGAAGTAAAGATTGGCAGAAACAAGTAACAACTTTTGCCCTTACCCTAACATTGTGTTCAAGTTTAATTAGATACTTCTGCTTCAAATGTTTATGGACTCTATATACTTGTGAAGAAAGTATCTTCTACACGCATACTTATGCCTCTCCTCAAATTTTCTAATGCCATAATTCCTCTTGCCTTTCGTGGGGGATTAGGTTCCTGAGGTAAATCAAATAATTAAGTGAAATGTGTTTCCATCATTCATTACAATTTGTTTGGCTCAATTCAGAACAGACCCTTTCTCATCTAACTGCCATTTATGAAATTTTGGGGTTCTGAAGTAAAATGCACAGCTGTATCCAATTTTGGAAACCTTACTTTGGCTTGGGAGACAAGATGATCTTTCAGCTCAAGGTAGTCTAACCAATGTTTGTATCTAAAAGGTTGGTGTTGATAAAATATTGCGATCTTCAATCTCATTCTTGCCATCTTCACGGCAACATTTGTTTGATACTCATATGGTTATACTAGTCAAAAAGCTAGTTTCTAATCCTGGAAAATAGAAGTCTATATAGTTTCCTATGTCACCCATAATTGCAGTATAAGAAAATAAAATTTGATGCTACTTCTATATCCACCATTCACTAGCACTTTTGGGAACACCAGAATACATTAAAGAAATTGGGGTGGTGGGGGAGAAGAAATGGCATACAATACTACCTTCCCTAGTTCTTGTGAAAGACCATTCCAGCTGAGAAGACTGACAGTTTCAGGAGAAGGCTACTCTCTTGCCCTTGTTATGACACCAAAAAAACACAACACTAGGAATGACAAAGGTGTTTATTATTGATGGTGGGTTTATGCATTCCAATAAACCATTACATGTGGGTCATTGGCTTTAGCTGAGCACTATGTGTTATTTCAGCCCCCACATTTTGCAAACTATGTCTTTATACCTTACCCTATGTCAACTAGGCCACGATGGTTATACTTAACAGTCAATAACTAAAATAAATGATTTGAAGATCTGGGTTTAGAATTTCCCAAGCCAGATATGCTTCTTTTCAGAATTCTCGCAGTCTTTTCATACCTGGGAATGGGGCTGACAGCAAACAAAGAATTGTCAGAAAAAAATCAGGTAGAAGAAGATCAAAATCATTCACCACGTCATCTGCCATTTTCATTTGATATTGCCAATTTGATATAGTTGCTAAGTAACCACCACAGTCCTTTAACAAAATAGTATAAAAGAATTATTGCTACAAACAATGAAGATGAAAGCAAGGGGAATCAAAAATGTCAAGATGGTGGTAACAATGTGATTGAAACCCTGTCTCTTTTTATGTGCATGCAAACATACAATATGATATAAAAGGGCCAAGTTAGTTGAGACTGCTACTATGACTTATACCCATCCTATAGACATCCCCATTGAGGTATTGAGATGAAAGAAAGAAGTGGCATAAGAAAGAGTAGCTGCAAAAAAATGTAACTTGGGTAAAGGTAAATTATCTGAACCACACTCTGGACTAAACAGTCTAAAGGAAAAAGAGGCATCTAGAATAAGAGTGTATGAACAAGATGTTTTTTTTTTTTTTTTTTTGCAAAAGTAGAAGCATCTGATCCATTTGTAAGACTGCTATCCAACCTAGTATTAGAGTATGTTGTGCTGATGAAATTATTTTATGTGAACATTTTAAGCAGTTACATAATAGAAGTTAAATAAATTGAGATGCAAAAAATTATAAATTCAATGGTTAAAATATTTTCAATAGTTTTTAATCTCTCCTATTGAAATTCTGACAAACTGTCATTAGACCATTTCTTATTAGTATTATTTACAGAATTGCAAAAGGCATATGAAGATATAAAAGTAAGGTCAATTTCACTGGTTGGTTTTGCTCTAATTTGACAACAGGTTTTAGAACACCAAAGAATGTTAGATAAATTAAGCAGAAAATACTAATATTTGCTAGGGGGTTTCTAGAGGTTTGTATTTTATTGTTTAGCAAGATCCATCCTCTGGGCTAGTAAATTGCTAAGTCCACTTACAGATATTTTGCAATTAATTCAAAACTGAACATTGATTTTTAATAAAGAGTTTCCATTTATAAATCACATCTGATATGATTTTAGTGTAGTCACGAATACCACCTGTGAACACCTGACTTCTTAGAAATGTAAAACTAAGATATTCTGAAATAAGCAGAATAATGACATAGGTTTTTGGCTCAGGATTTACATACTGCTAAATTAACATTTAGAAATAATTTCTTTCCATGGATAATTAGCTAATGCCTATGTATTCTAGCTATTGTAGCTATGAAAATGGAAGAAAAATGTCACCTACTGACTGTCTAGAACAGGGGTGGCCAATCTTGGCCACTTTAAGACTTGTAGACTTCAACTCCCAGAATTCCCCAGCCAGCAATTCTTAAAAGTTTTCAAGGTTAGATACCCCTATTCAGAGAGTTCTAGAAAAAACGTCTCCCAGACAACCAACCTCCCATTCTTGAGCTAATAGTTTTTCAGAAGCCCTTCTTTCCAATGAAATGTAGGGTTATAAAATCTTCAGTATTTTAGCCATTGTTCATCTGCTGTTAAAGAAGCTAATACTGTACCATACAAGCCAACCAGCATTTGGGAAAAGGATGTTTTACAAGATTGCTATTTTATTTGTACAATTTAGGAAATCTGTTACTGTACAGAAATATGTACTCAATGTCAAAGCATGCAATTATGGTAATTGCATTATTAAGAGCCTTCATGTTTGATTGCTACAATTGAAGCTGCTACTTTAAATGTGAGTCATTCATGAAGCATGAAAGAAATATTTCAAGATCAATATACTCCTAAATTGTTGGGAGAGCAACCATCCTGATCGAAAGGAGGGCTCAAGTGGGAAATTAATCTGGAATCATATAAACATAAATCTGACCCCTCCCCTCAATGCTTCTGAGTTATCTAGTCTTTCCCAGGTGAAAGCTACTAGTCTGCGTAGATTCCTTTGAAATAGGCGTAGAACAATAAAGTAGCTTCTTTGAACTGTACAAGTGGGGAGGTGTCTGGTTGTTTGCACCTGATGTTAAGTGCACAGATGAGCGATTTTCTCTTGCAATAAGTTAACTGGCACTGCAATCTTCTGCTTTAAGTTAGACTCAGACCAACCATACTACATCCCTTACTACAGGTAGTTTTTGACTTAGAACCACAGCTGAGCCCAAAATTTCTGTTGTTAAGCAAGACAACAGTTAAGTGAGTTTTGCCTCATCTTTTGACCTTCCTGGCCACAATTGTTAAGTGAATCATGGAGATTATTATGTTGATAACATGGTTATTAAGTGAATCTGGCTTCCCCATTGACTTTGCTTGTCAGAAGGTTGCAAAACATGATCAAATGACTCCAGGGCATTGCAACCATCATAAATACATGCCAGTCACCAAGTGTCCATATATTGATCATGTGACTATGGAGATGCTGCAACGGCCGTGTGAAAAATGTTCATAAGTCACTTTTTTCAGTGCCATCATCACTTTGAACCGTCACTAAATGAATGGTCGGAAGTTGAGGACTACCTGTACCAAACCTTGTTTGTAAAATTAAACAGCTGATATTCAGGTTACACTATTGATTGAAATAAATCTAATCTCTTGTTTTTGAGATCAACTATATCTATAGTTTACTGTATGTACAATTTGGACTGACTAAAATACTTTACATTTTTTATCAACTGTATCACAATATTTTAATCAAATATGCCAAATTAGAAATAGGTAATTTGATGGTTAACATTCTCATTAAGTCTTCAGAGAAGATCTTTTCAGAATATTGTATTTAGATTCATGTATATTTTAAGAGGAATTCCAATATTACTCATTAGATTTTATATAGATACATAATAAATGCCATTATAATAAATAGATGTCATAATATATGTTACCTTATGGTAATGGCAGCTTTAAGTTGATTTTGGCATACTAAAGACGCCCAGGAGTGGGACATCCTTCTCCTCTCTCACCAGACACCTGTTCAGCATTGCACAGGACTATATGCGTTGCATTTAATGAAAACAGCAGTAGCAGCTACATAACACTAAGCCAAGATTTTTAACCATGGCTTTGCAGTAGCAGTCCGAACTCTCAAATGCTTTCCAAGGGAAGGCAGCCTGGTGTCCCATCTTGCCGTTTTTTCTTCAACATGCCAATATTTTAGATTCTAACATTCCAGTATTTTCTACCACTTTCATCGCTATAGTATAACTTTTGGTACTAATAGTGATCTTAGAATTTCATCTGCATTATGTTTTATGCTAGATCATGTTTATCTGTGACTTTATTGCTGTGTTGAATTTTGTTTATTGTGACTAGTCATTTATTTAATAGCATTTATGTCGTGCTAGAGACAAGCAATTAACATGCAAATAAAAGTTCATCCAAATAGCAGTAATAGTAATGAAACAAAGATGTGAGAAAAACAGATTTAGAAAAATGCACTTTATTAATTTTATTACTAAAGTTAACAATAGAAAATCCAAGGTGTTTATTTTACAAAAACATAAATAACATAACAGTTTGCAATTCTTTTCTATATGATTGTCATCCTGAGGATTGATCCAGGAAATGTATTGACAGCTACATATGAAAACATTTAGGTGCATCACATTTATTTTAATTCCATGATTTTAAGACATTCTATTGTTTGGTTTTAATGTCACTATTGTTATTATTGCTTTGCAGCTCTGAGAACCTGACCATTATGACTGCAAATTATAGCATCTGAAATTTAATAAATCTGAATATTAATACTTGGAGGAGGCTGTCCTAGAGGGCCTTTAGATAGGCAGCCAACAGGGGACCAAATCATTAAGTGGGCCTGGGCTTCTGCCTGGCCCACCTCTTGTGCTTCACAGTTTGACCTTCTGGCAGTAGTAAGTCCTAAACAGAGACAAGATATTTGAAATCTATTCACATTAATTTATTTATTTAATCAATGTACAGATATTGCTCCTGAAATGAAAAAAACTAAATGATAAAATAAATAAATTGTGCCAGATACAATGCAATTCAACTAAAAACTATTAAAACAAATGATCAGTCAAGATATCTATGGAGATTCTCAGTCATCCAAGTCATGGGTGTCCCAAAGGTGTTTTTTCAAGAGGCAACTGGACGTTCTGGCTTTTCTTTGAAGAAGTTTTGCTTCTCATCCAAAAAGCTTCTCATCCAAGAGCCTGGTGGCTCAGCAGACTGATAGCATTGTGATTAACACCAGCTGTCTGCAATTACTGTAAGTTCGAATCTCACCAGGCTCAAGGTTGACTCAGCCTTCCATCCTTCCTTCTAAGGTAGATAAATTGAGGACCCAGTTTGTGGGGGCAATAAGCTGACTTTGTATAAATATACAAAAGTATGACAGCTATTGCTTAACGCATTGTAAGCCGCCCTGAGTCTCCAGAGAAGGGCGGCATATAAATCAAATTAAAAAAAAAAAAAGCTTCTTCAGCTCTGACTGGATATTGGGGAATGGAAGGATTTATACTCCTTGCAGACAGCTGGTCATTTGTATTCTTTAAGCAAGTCGTTAAGGTTACCTGGAGGTTTATCTGTGTCATCAGGTCAAAGAGGCCATCTATGTCAAAATTGAACAGCCCTCTCTTAACAGAGTGGGAGGGATATGACATCTATCTCCAAATCTATAACACAGTCCTTTCAATAGTTCCAAAAAGGCTCCACACCCATTTGCACCACTAAGGTGATCCTGCTGACACAGAAAAGCACCTTTGGGACAATCAGTCAAGATGAGCATAAAACCTCCCAAGGGGTGGGTGGGGAACCCACTTCTTATAATACAGGTCAAACAATTAACTGAGGGTATAAGGTTACCACAGCTAATTCTAAAGTGAAAAATAAACTCAGTTATTTGAGTACAAAAAAAAAAATCAGCTTTGGTTTAAAGAAGTGCCTCTTTTCTTTTTTTTTTGTCACTACAGACAAGGTTCTGATCAAAGGACATTTGAGCTACTTAATGGCATGGATTTTTTTCTCCCGAAGCACTACACTGTATTATTAATGTTACTTCTCTGCTATAATACATTTTAAAAACCACTGTTTTAATACTATTGATTATTTGATGGTATCTGTTTAACGTTGCACTGACTGAATCCATTCTTGCTTTCCTTGTGTTAGCAAAGCTCTAAGAAAAAAAACAATTCACCTGCGTCTGTCTTGTGTCATGATCGATTTGATAAACCTCATCAGTTTAACTACAGTAGGACATTGTCTATAGCAAAGAGAGGCATCATTTGGAGACCGCCAGGTTTATTTGGAATTCTTGAAGCATGACTCTTCTTCATTCACAGTCATAAGAGGTGTGGCAAGTCACAGAAAGCCACTTTACCAAAAGTCAAGGAAGTGAGTTTGCTCCCGCTTTCCTGGAGACAATGTTCCAGAAGAAACTGCCTTATTTCTGGACAGATGGCCCTGCTTCCAAAAAGAGTGCCAGACTCTACCCATTCCGTATACTGTTTATATATATATATCTGAATAAGATCTATAATGTATAAAGTAGATGATACTAACGGCATCTTTATCTATTAAATTTGTTTATATTATAAAATTATTTTCTGCCCATCTTCCCTCAATGCCCATTGCGACTCTGCAATGTAGTCGGCCATATTTGCACGTATTATCTCATCTTGTTTGCGTGGAAGCCCTGATATAAACAGCAAATTCTTCAAGATATCCCTGAGACAGAATCAACCATCTTTCTGAGCTAACAGATGGCAGTGAAAGCACTACCCAGAGGGTCTCCTGAAATTCCTCTTCCCATCCACACCTACCTTAAGCTGGGACCCCGAGGGTAATGATGCTTGCTTGATGCAGGCCTAAACGAGGTAGCTATCTTGCTTAATCATTTTCTTCCAATGAATCCTATACACTAACATTGGAAAAACCATCTGATCAGTCAAATAGTCAAGAGAGGCAACCAAATATTGTGCTGTACAGGCCTAATTTTGTGACAAAAACACACTGCTTTGTTTGTAAGATGCTCACTGGTGCTAACATTGATGCATCATGACAACTAAGCGGGAAGCAAGTAATGGGCCTGATGGTAGGTGGTAATAAAGTACTGGAATGCACAATTGTGCATGCAGCACAGCTTCCCCTGTACCCTGTGTGTTACCTTCAAATACAATGAAAAATTATGCCTTTTCTGTATCTGGAGATGGATTCCATGCTTCCCCAAATACACTTGTCTCAAATCTTTAGCTGAATGATACTGATATTTGGGCTAAAATGAACTCATGAAATGAACCCATTTCACCTGGGCTAACCATTGCAATTCACACTTTAGTTGGTTGGAAATAAGACAGAATCCTCTGGAGTTATTTCTTATTGCTGGGCCCAAGTATTTTCTCATTTTTCAAGATTTAATACAAGGAAGTGGCTGACAGGTTGCCTGAGCAAAATAATAAGCTGAATTAAAGAAATGAATTCCACAAAACAGCAATGCTGGTGGTTAGCTGAAAGCTTGGCTTGAGACTCTTAATTTGAATTATTTGAGATGGAAGCTGTGCTACTGCTAACGTGCAGACAGGAGTGCTCTTTGATTCAGTGTTGTGACTGGACTTTCAAGGGGACAGCAATAGTAAGGTCTGTATTTGTACAACAGGCACTCCTAAAAAGTCTAATTTTGTAACAAACAGTTACATTTTGGATACGTATTACTGCGGCCATTGCAAAATCCCAAATATACAACTATACCTGTAAAGTATCTGGAAAGTTCAGTCTGTAGCAGCTAGATGAAATTAATGAAGATTACTCTAGAATGTAAAGATCTAGGTAATTATTTTCTACGTATATTGGGTTCAAAAAGTTGGTTTCAGAATTAAAAGCTGAATTAATAGCTGACTCTATAAGGCAGGGATCCCCAACCTCCCCAACATGGCCTATTCGGAATTGGGCCACATGAATGACTGGCTGGAGTTCACAGGTGCACGCAGCTCAATTAGCACAACCAGTGGGCTGATGAGCATTCACGTGCACGCTGGCCCGCTGCTCGTGCAAGGGCTGCATGTGCACTGTGTCAGCCCACCAAGCCACAAAGGTTGGGGACCGCTGCTATGCCTCACAATAAATGAAAAGAACAGTAACTCTGTCTTGTTAGGTTTCAATTCAGTCAACTTTGTTCCATTCAAAGGACTTCCACAACTCCCCCAGTTAAGCTTCCAGTATAATGAAGAGCTACTGACAGCATACTGATGTCATCTTACTAAACCAACGGAGGATCTCTCCCAGCAGTTTCACATAAATATTTAACAGGACAGGGAAGAAAATCAAGCCCTAACATACCCTAGTGGGATCTCTTGTCTTCCCCCACTATGGTCCACTGAGACCATCTCCCGGACGTGGCCTGCTGTGCTCTTCCACTCTCAGCACTTGCAGAGGACCCAGGTGGCAGAGAACATCCCAAAGAGCACCTTCTCCACTAATTATTAATCCACAGCTCAAAAGGAATCTCAAATAACACTGCAGATGGTGCAAAACGGACATCAGATCCTGATGTCCAAGAAAAGTCAAGATTATATTGTTTTTTTATCAACAAAAAAAATATCCATACCAAGAGATGCCAAGTTGCTAGTCAAAATATTTTCATGTAACTTCTCCAGCAGATAATGTCCACTTTACTGACCAGATCCAAGATAAGGTGCATGACTGAACAGTACGCAAATTTGTAATGTTTATACCTTTGCATCTTCATCTGGGCATTTCTTCTGCTTAAATTCTTCAGCAGCAGGGGCAAAAAACAAGAGTTATTATAATAATTATATGCACTGAAGCACAGATATATCTACATCAATGTAACTTCCCTGTTGATTTTCCCTAATATTCAAATAAGTATGAATACCTAAAGCACTATCCAATGTTGGGAATAAATTCCACTAGAACTTACTTTCAAACACAGTAGCGTAATTCTGCACTGTGACAGTGTCATATAAGAATAGTTATGTATTTGTGCAGTAAAAATTAGAATTCAAACTATTTTATAAACCACACAAAGCTATGTGATTTGTTTGGATTTGTCTTAGGAATCAATACTTACAATTTTTAAATTATGACTTATGTTTCTTGCAAATGTATAAATCTACTCATATTTAACAAACTATAACTAAACAAACCGTGACTTTTAAAAATAATGCAAAGTATTCAGCCTGTAACCAAATGGCTTAAAAATCAAATCCAACCACTGACATACCCATTCCCAATCCAAACCCATCAACACCCACATAATCCATTTCTCGGGCAAAATCATCAATACAAGGGAAGAAACACTTACTAATGTGATCATATCTCCAGGCATAGCCAAGGGTACACAAGCTCAGAAGCAACAGAGAAATCCCAGGCAATCCATACTTTTTCACATTGATGTTCCTGTTCAAATATCCGTTCCAGGCTATTGGAGAACAAGTAGTTTTATGAGACATAGGCGAAATCCTTTTTTTATCATTCACAACAAAAGCTAGACTCCAGCCATATTCCCCTGCTAGTCCCTGGTTGTTATAACAAAGCTTTCACCTATTTCAACCAGCACTAGGTGATAAAAGGATATACTCTGAAACACAGCATTATATATTAACTATAAAAGATCTCAAAACATTTTCTATTACTTTTATACAGATTCTACAAATAGTTTGCTTGCATCCTCAAAGTAAGTGACAATGTTTTAGGGCACACAAATATTCTGCTATATATAAGGACAAAAAAATGAAAACAGACATTATACACTTACGTTACACATGCATCTATTTAATAGCCATTCCATCTCTCAAGGAGGGACTTAGAACAACATTCTCAGCCTCTTATGTAAACCTCAATTTAAAGAAGTTCTGCAAATCATAGATAATGCTAACTTCAGTTTGTAAAAACAACATATATATTGTATATACTCTTGTTATTCTCTGTTCCTTCGAACAGAGAAATTTTCCTTCAAAAAATTATGCTATTTCAAAGAATGTCCTAGTCTGCCCTTGCACAACAAATTCAAATTAGGCCCACGGTGTCAAACACAGATCGTCACGGCGGCATCACTTGACATATCAGGACTTTTCCCCGCTTCACTAAACCAGGGGTGCGTGTGGCCAGCATGTGATGCATCCGGCCCGTGGGCAAGGAGTTTGACAGCCCTGATTTAGGCTAACTGACAAATTGAAATTAAATATGCCTCAGAGAATATACTGATTCTATCAAACAGTAATTTATGCTATGCATATACAGGTAGTCCTTGACTCACAACAGTTTGCTTAGCGTTTGAAGTTATAACAGACTGGAAAAAAGTGAGTTATGACTATTTTTCACACTTATGACCATTTCATCATTCCCATGGTCATGTGATTTACATTCGGATGCTTGAGAATTGACTCATATTTATGACGGTTGCAGTGTCCCGGGCTCAAGTGATCTTCTTTTGCAACCTTCTGACAAGCAAAGTCAATGGGGAAACCAGATTCACTTAACAACTGTGTTGCTAACTGCAGTGATTCACTTAACAAATATGGCAAGAAAAGTCATAAAATGGGGCAAAACTCACTTAACAAATTTCTCACTTAGCAATATAAATTTTGGGCTCAATTGTGATCATAAGTTGAAGACTACCTGTATTTGTGTCTCTTAGAGCATAAACCATTCATGAATTAATAACTATTTGAACCAATCTATTGAGCAGCTATATTCTTTTGAATTCTGCGCCATTAAAAACTTTTACCTTTCTTATTGCCACAAAGCAGAATGTGAGCTTCTGATATTTTGATATCCGACTCTGATTGTCTTTCTAAAAATAACCCTAGCCTCTGGTAATTGGGATACAGTTCAGAGAACCACTCCAGTCCTAACGAAGATTGTTTTATGTTTTGTTCTGGAAAAGTAGACATTTCCAATTCTTGCAGTGAGAGTTTTTTTAAACCTATCACTGAATTTTTACCTTCTTTTGTCTGAAAGGCTCTTGAGCACAAATACGTATTTTTCTCCAAAGCACTTAAGTAGCTACCAGCAGTAGTAGCTTTATCAACTCTCATTTCTCTAAGAACTTCTGTGAATGAGGGACACACATTTGGTTTAGGATCTGGATCAAAGAGGTGTGTCTTAGGATAATCCTCTGCTTTGAGAAATAAAGAATTTGCATTTAACTTACTTTTAAGCAAGTGGACTGGACCTCTGGTAACCCTTCCATAGCTGTCTACAACAACATGGTTCTGTGATGTGCATGCTTTAATTGTGGACATCTCATTTTCTGTGCTTCCATTTTTGACATTTCCTTCAAGTTCTAAAATATTCTTGTCCACATGGCCAGTAATAATTTGCTGCCTGTTGGCCAAAGCAATGTTTGCTACTCCTGACACTGATTTCAGAGGCCACTGTCCTGTCTTACTGTTATCAAGGATACTTTCATTTGACAATCTATTATGACCAGAGGATTCACATCTGTTTTCTAATGCTGTCTCATGATGATGAGAGGCAGTGATCTGTTCTATTCTGCCACCAAGTCCTTGATGAATTGGTTGAAGACTCTCAATGAAAATATTTGTTGAAAGGGATGCATGCTGCTCTCCCAGTGACTCTATATTCTGTTTCTGTTTTGCACAGGGTTTCTGATTTGATTCTGAAGTGGCTTTTCCACTTTGTGTCAGTGATTCTAAACTAAGACCAGGTATAATCTCTTCTTTAGGTAAAGAGGCTCTACTGTTTTTTTCAACTATGGATAACTTCTCTGGAAGATTTATTTTTGGAAACAACCTTTTATCTACTGGTGCTGAAAGCTCTTCTGAAGTTTTTTCTTTATTTTTCCTTGTTTGGGGAGACTTTTCACTAGCACTTTTCATTTTCTTTTCTGTATCTTTATCTTCTGCCAGACTGCTGTTTACAACTGTTCCAGTTACTCCAATATTTTTTCTTTTTCCTTTTTTTGTTACCAAGTCAGTTTTAGTCTTTTTGCTTTCTTCTTCAGGGGAAGTTACTAAGCTTCTGATCTGCTGTGTCTTTTTCTCAGTACTTAGCTGCTCAGATGTAACAGAATCACAGGCTTTTCCAAGAAGAGGCAAAGCTTCTCTTGAATCTTCACTACCTGCCATTTTACAATGAGGCAGGTGAGACTTGAGACGTTTAAACTGCTTTTTGCAGTAGGGACAGATTTGTATTTGTGGTGTGTTGCCAGTCATTTTTCTGCCTGAAAAAGAAAATGGAACCAGACATTGGAAGAACAGGCAGATTTAAGAAAAACTTGCCTGGATGAAAATTTAAGAAGAGCTTAATACTAGTTGGAACTTGTACCAAGGACAGTGATGCGATTCAGTCGGTTCTCTCCAGATTGCGCAAACTAGTAGTGGCGACTGCTGGAGGCTCCGCCCACCCACCCGGATGTAAAGTGCGACTACTGTGCATGCGCACACGCTCACATTTGCAAACCGGTAGGGAAGCTAAGTGAATCCCACCTCTGACCAAAGATATAGAATGGTTCAATGCTAGAAATAATCATTGCCTAACTTTTTTCCAACACATTTGGTCTTTTCATTTTTCATTCAGGTAACTATTGTGCAAAATAGTGCATAAGCGTAAATACTACGAAGAGTTTATTCATATTTTAATAAGTGTAAAACATTTCTCCTATCTTCTATTAAAACAGATTTTAAAGAACACAATTCCTACCATTTATTTATTTATTTATTTATTTTACTTCAGATTTATATACCACCCTTCTCCCTAGAAACTCAGGGCGGTGTACAGCCAAGTAAAAACACATAAATACATAATACATAGATAAGAACCATCATCTATACTATAGTATGTTTACTGTACTATTGACCTACCACAAATAGGAGACTGTATACACTATTGCTAGAATTCATATTAACATATTTTACCTAGAAAACTCCATGGTTCAATCATTTGGAAGAACCTAAAGAAAAGTCACGTGGCTGAAATACTACGTACTACTACTACTACTAATCATAATTTAAAAATTGCTTAAACCAGCAATTCCTCAATAAAAGCTCCTATGATCCAGTCTCTTCTGGCAAGATTATCAGCGTCACAGATCCCCATCGCGATGCTACATTGACGCTAAAAAAAGATGCAGACAGGCAAACGGAACTATTTCACAACTAGACAAACTTTTCAAATTGAATTCATTCCTGCGCTTAAAGTTTGCCTCAGTTAAACTGTCGCTCCTCTCGCTCATCGCCACCCCAAAAGGCAAGTCGGAGCTCTGCCTTGAAGCCAAAGGCTTAGCCTGAGGGAATCTAAGGCTAAGAAATAAGCCCCGATCCATCACTTTCCTTCCTGAGGTAAACTCCTTCAATCCCCCATATGCTTACCCAGAAATTGGGTTCCCTCCTGGGAATAAGAAGCCGCAAGCGAAGAAAGGTTTCACTCAAGGAGGAAACCGCGCTGAACTCGAACTCAGCTACAGCTGACAAACCGGCAGTTCGCGAATCCAGCGTTGGAAACGACAAACGGCGCCTCCAGCGGAAATGGAAACCTTTGACCTTCACTCACAAGCGGAGCCCGAGGCAAGTCGGGCGACAGCGCATGCGCCTCACGCGTCACCCGTCGCCTTGTAACGCACATGCGCTCTAGAGTCACGGCTTCGCGGGCCGCACCGCCGATGCGCAAAGCAAAGGCGAGAAGCCAGAGGCGGTCCCGGCCCGCGCTGTTTCGTGCGCTTGCGCAGGAGGCGTGCACACCGGAAGCGGACTCCGCTGGGCTTGAGAAAAAGAGGTGGGGGCGGGGGAGAAGGGAGAAGGTTGTTTGGGAGCCGGATCGCGGCGGCCTTCCGTCTTCGCTGCTTGGGGGTCCGAGCGGACTGGGGCCCAGCCCGGCCATGAGTTGCCGGGGGCCGCTGCCCAGCGAACGAGGAGCGAGACAGAGGTGAGCGGGTGCGGAAAACGGGATGGTCTCGGGGAGGCGGGCGGGGGGGAACTTGAAGCCAGCCGCGGGCAGAAAAGCCGAGGGCGAAGGCGACCAAGCTGGGAGCAGGGCCCGAGGGGGGAGGCCCGGCGAGCAGAGGCGATTGTGTGGTCATTGCCGTGGATATTGCCTCCAGCCTTCGCGTCAGCTGCGACTTGAGGCCGGGAATCTGGGTTGCCTGCCTTCCTCAGCTGTCGGAGCGACAGTTTTCCCCAGTCGTCCACCTGCAGGTCCCCCGCTTCCCTTATTAGCTGGCTGGGGAGCCTGGGAAGTGGGGTACAACAAACGCGATGGGAAAGGCTGAAGGTTAACACGGGCCGTCTCGTTTCGACTCGGATTTGGCCCGGCGGGTTAAATAGGCACCTCGCATTTTTCTTCTTTTTCGATCTTTCCTTTGTAAAATAATAATAATAATCCAAATAATCCTGTGCATTTTGGTCGTCCTTTGGACTGCTGCTTTTTTTTTATTATGTTTCTATTTTATTTTTCCTTGAAGTAGTTTAGGCTGATATATACTATTATTATTATTATTATTATTATTATTATTATTATTATTATTATTATTATTATTATTATCATCATCATCATCATCATCATCATCATCATCATCATCATCATCATCATTATAATCATCATTATTTTTGCAGGAACACTAGCAGGTAGATTACATCAAGAAACTCTGCTTGAGGCCGAGAGATCCTTCTGTCAACTTGATGGCAGAATAGAAATTTGACCCTGAAGTTTCTCAGGATGGGCCTTGAATAATTATTACAAAGTTACCAGATGTAAACGTTTGAATGTAGAAGGCTTTGTAATTTTTTTCTGAAAGCCACCCAGTTAATTTATGGCTGAGTTGAGATTAAAAATGGAGATATGGCTCATAGGCTTGCAATGGAATCCTAAATGTTCAGTATTTAGCAGCTCTGCTCCTCTGGTGTTATTTATGAGAACGTGTATATGTTGGTAGCACATTAAGCCCAACTATGAAATACTTGTAAATGCATTTCTGTCAAATCCTTAAGCCTGTTTCAAATCACAATATACTGCTTTATTGGTTCATTGTCTGATAATAAGATTTTGTACAGCTTGATAGAACATATCGTCATAGTTGCATTTTTGGAGAAACCCTAGGAAAAAAAATAGTAATTGGGTTTATTCAATAAGTTAAGAGTTAATGTTAATAATTGGAAAACAAAATAATTTTCAAAATGACAATATCTCAAAAAAAATATTCTAATACAGATTGACATATTTTTTTATATCTCTACCAAACCTTTTCAAAGGTCTAGTGTAACTTTTCAAGTTGCTTGTCTTTTTAGAGCATCTAAAGAATATTTATTTATAAATAATCCTCGTCATTTTGTGAACTCTGCTGAAATATTGTATGAAATATATCAATGCTTTTGAGCATTGTCTTTAACAAAGGACATCTTAAAGAATATTCATATGGAAGTTATGCTCATTTAAAAAGAAATGTTTTTCTCAAAAAATGTGTTTGCTTTGGACTTAAAATAACTCTTATTATACCTGTCTTGAACTGCTGACATTTATGACAAATAAAATAAATCCTGATTATCTAATAGAAGACCATTAGGTTGAGAAATATAGAGATAATTATCAATTTATGACTACAATTGAGCCCAAAATTTTTGTTGCTAACCAAAACAGTTAAGTTAGTTTTGCTCCATTTTATGACATTTCTTGCCACAATTTTGAAGTGAATCACTGCCGTTTTTTAATAATATGGCTGTTAAGTGAATCTGGCTTCCCCATTGACTTTGCTTGTTTGAAGATTGCAAAAGATCATCACATGATCCCGGGATACTGAAATCATCATAAATATGAGCCAGTTGCCAAGCATCCAAAATTTGTTCCTGTGACCATGGGGATGCTGCAATTGTTGTAAGTGGGAAAAACCATCATAAGTCACTTTTTTCAGCGCTGTAGTAACTTTGAATAGTCACTAAGTGAATGGTTGTAAATTGAGACTCACCTGTGACTATTTTTCATTGGCAGACATTCAGGATACGTTTCATTTAAAAATGGTTGCTACTGAGATGATTCTTTGACTACTGCATTGAGATTACTAAACACGTAGAAGAAATTTAAACTTTAACTTTAAAAGATAATCTGTACATGATTTTTAAACTAGCATAGGATAATGAAAGATGCTTTAAAGCAGAGGGCCCCGGGCCATGGCCCACTACCAGTCTATTCGAAACTGAGCAGCAGGAGAAATGGGCAAGTGCTCCTTGTCAAGCACTACTCGTGTGAGCGGAGAGCACTTGTGCAAGTGGAGCTACATGCACAAGCCAAGCGACTTCCGCTCACTTAAGTATAGTTTTATGCACAAGCACAAGTGCCTGCCACTCACGCAATTTGAGCTTTGTGTGTGATACAAGCACCCTCCTCTCACACACGCCGCTCCATTCGTGAGTGAAGGGGGTGCATGCATGCCGTTCGCACAAATGGAGCTATTCATCCGCGTGTGCCTGCCACTTAAACACACACCCCATGTTGGCCCAAACTGCCAATCTGGTAAGGTTGGGAATCTTTGATATGGCTTTCTTCTGGGTTTAATGGCTGATATCTGAGTCTCTGGAGAAAGGCGGCATATAAATTGAACTAATAATAAATAAATAAATAAATATCTTTGTAGCAATGGGCAGATGGAAAAAATGAATAATTTTAAACAGTGTGTTACCTGTAATTGTATCTTCTAAAAGTATACTGAGCTAATTTTGCTCTCCAATTTTTGCTGCAGGAAGAGGAGACGAAATGGCATAGAGGAGGATGGGCCAGTTCCACAAACTAAACGTGGTAGCCGAAATGCTGTCTTTCAGGATTCTTGGGATACAGAGGTAAGATTGTTTCAATATAGTTCTGCTTTGGCAGTTAATATATTATCCTATTAACAGAGTATGTGAATAATTTTTGTAGCTGAAGTATTATTACATGCATTCTGTCATGATGTTCCCTTTCAGGATAAGCTCTTCTACAAAATCATTTTTGTTTCTTTTGACAAATATTCCTTGCAATTCATTGTGTACTATCCACTGCCTTTCTACCAATATCTATTTGTTTTAAATTTCCTTCATTGTCCCTTCCTTAGTAAATATTTCTTCAAGTGCACAATTTCATTGTTTCTTTGTTAAATATATAACAAATACCTGGATATTAAATACATTAATTTTCAGTTCTGTATTCCTCGTTGCATCACATAGCATATCTAAAATTCACTTTGTTCCCTCATGAGTGCTTTTTTGTGGATCTCATTAGCATAACTATATTATTCTTGGGCCCTGTAACATATTTCTCCTCCATCTGTTACAAGCTGCTACCAAATCTTTCCTTATGTCTTTTCTTTTGTCATTTAGTTGGGAGATTAATCTGTCTCTAATACTTCTCAATATTGGATTTGCATTTTCTCTTCATGTATTTGTTCTGCTATTACATTTGCTGCTTTAGAATATTTTAAAATTTCCATTGTTTCCCAAGGTTCACTGTTGGTTCTATGGGAAAGAATCTCTCCCTCATTCAGAACTCCTATTATCTTTTTATCTTTCACTACTTTCCTTATGTTCATCCTAAACAAAGCACTCATACTTTTCAACATATCTTTTTTAAGTGGATACACACCAATATCTATTCTTATTTATTCATATCCCCGAATGGCCCAATTATTTTGTTCTAGTACTTTGTCATTTTATTCACATTACCTAGAAGATCCCATTCATTATGTGGCAAATTTTCTTCAGATTTATTAGTTCTTGTGACATTGCCAACATTCAGAGAAATATAACATACAAGTGTCACCAGTGGCTACTTTTGTATGCAGCACTTTGTTTTCTGAAATATATTTTAGTCCAATCATTCATAATCAGGCCTGCATCTTTGCTTCCGTCATTGTGATCTTTGTGTTCATCAATTCCACCCCAAAAGATTAAACCTTCATTCAAATCCATTAAATCCTTCCCCTTTTTCTTAGTCTCACAAATATGAATCAGTTTTCGTTCTTACATTATGTTTGCTAATTTGGGCTATTTATAATTTATTCCTCTTAAATTTTGTTTCAGTCGCTTTCTGGTGATAATTAACCTGTGCCATTTCTCAGGACTTTTGTGAACCAGAACTTTTACATAACACCTTTTAATATGAGTGCCTTAGTTTACCATGCTTTGTGCAGCATTCTTGAAAATGTTAAGAATAGTACCAGTCATTTTTATCATAATTTGGCATGTCTGTCGTGAAAAGAAAGCCAGTCTTACTCTCTGTGTTCGCACTACTCTCTTCCAACAAGGATCTCTAAAGATTAACTTCGAAGCTCATGCATGATTAGTAATATTCCCCCCAACTAAGTGAATTGCAGTTTTAGGATGAAGCATATAATTTAGTTTATTAGTTGTGTTTACATTAAAATAAATAGTCCTTCTGCATTTGGTGTTGATTCATAAGCTTTTATTTCAAATGTGAATTTTGAATATGTATGCTTTTGTTTTTTTGTTCTATAACGCAAGTGAGCTTTCAAAGTGATTTTCATTAGAACCTCATTGTATATTCATATTCAGGTCTAGTAACTTGAACAGCAACAACATGATATTTAACTTTTCATTACCTGAATTTGTTCAAGTAAAGCAAAGAGAGTCACATTATGGTTCACTGTGATGTGTTAATCCAGCCAGTATCTTTCACTTTGGTTTTCTCTGAGGTCACCATTTGGCCATTGCTTAGTAAGTAGGAGAGCATGGAAAATTATAAGAACGATAGAATGAGGCAGGCAGCTGGAATTCTCTCTGCCTATAAGGGAGGTGCCTGTTGCCTTCCTGGCAGCTGGCATTATGTATGTGCACGAATGAATGCTTCTACTGTTAAACATAATTTACACCATCAAGGAATATTATATTAGTGCAGCTCTTAACATTTTCTATTTGTGTGAAGGTGTAATTAAACATTAACTATTTGTATTCAGTTTTAAAATCACCCATTGTGGCTTAACAAAAAGGGTAGCAAGGACGATTAATCTGTTGAGGAATCAACTGTACTTTGCTTTATGATGTTTACAGTGGCAGATAACAGTGATAGATGAACAAACAGACAGACTCAAAGCAATTCAGTTTTTTACTTAATATAGTATGGTGCTTAAGATTGTTAAATTTCAGCCTCAGATAAAATATTTGAATATTTGAAAATATAAATATGACATTTGGGATTTGTGGCAAGGCAGTTTTTTTCTTAGTGGAATTGAAAGTACAGAAAATTAGTTTATATTGCTGGACCTGCATGTTTTAACTTGCTTATTGCAATGTTTCCCTATAAAAACAGAATGATCAAGTTTTTGGTACCAGGAGATCTCCAGAAAAATGTCTGCTGTTGTTTTTAACAAGTTGTTATGAACAGCCTCCCTGTGTTTTTTATTCCACAGTCTTCCAGCAGTGAGAGTGGCAGTACCAGCAGCTATAGCAGCAGCAGCAACATAAGCAGTCCTGACAGAGCTACTGGGACAGACACCAGCTTACCCCAGATAATGCCAGGATCAAGTCCCGTGACGCCTCCTCAGTCTTTCCACGAGCAGTCTGCACTATGCCAAGGCCCTTACTTCCACATCAACCAGATCCTGAAGGAGGCGCACTTCCACAGCTTACAGAACAGGGGCCGTCCCCCAACATGATGAGCCTAGCAGCTCTCTGCCTTCTGTGAAGGGGGACAGCACTGTGTGATATTTCAACTTTAAAAAAGAAATTGTTAAAATTGCACAAAATGCCTGTTGCCTTTTCAATCTGTATTTGGAATAACAGGTTAACAGGTAGTTGTTTACTTGTGGTTTGCTGCACTATTGCAATGCAAAGGGAGCTTTGGAGTAATTTTTATAGGATTCTTCTGGAGACTGGTTGAGGGTGGAGAGCTGACGTGTTGGGATGAGTCTAAGAGTCCACCTCTGTATTATAGGAGTGCATAATGAGTCCAGTCCGACTTCTCAATCTGTTTATTAGTAACCGATGCTTTATGTAAAATCCTTTCCAACATTTGTGTTTAGTTTTATAAGTCTTTTTTTTTTATTTCAATAAATAGTGAATATGTTTTTATGGTAACTTACTCTTTTAAAAAGTTAAGTTCTTTATGTGTTAAGGCCACTTAAAAAAAATACTCCAAGATAGAATGGGAGATTCTATTACTGGAGTGCAAACAATTGCTTCCTTATTACATACACTCAGACACAGGATCTTTTCTATTGGTCATGGACTTAATTACACTGGCTGTTTAAAGAAAACAATCAGTTAATAACTTTAGCTGCCTAAGCTGCATATCTTGTATTTTTAGACGCTCTGATTAGTTGTACAAGACATTTAAACCATGAGCTTCAGGCTAAAACGAGGTGTGAATCATACGCCTTACGCATCCTTTTGTCATTACAAAGCCAAGGGCATGATAGTTCGCATTTATTCAATCATTTGGTCATGCTTGAGAGCCAGCCAAGTTTAAACAAAGATGGTGCCGCTGTGTCCTCCTCCTCCTCTGCTGCCAGTTGCCTGAACAGGGACCCAGGACGAAGCGTCTCTTCCGTTCTCATCAGGGCAGTGGTTGGAGCCTATTAATTTTAACAAAAGAAAAGTCAATAGACCCATGAGAGCTTGCCATTTTTTGTTATTTACAAGAAGTTTAAAGCTATGTGAAGACAGACACAAGCTCAGATTCACAATAGCCAGCAGGGCCACCAGAGGAAATTAAATCTCCCTTCTCTGAAAGTGCTATACAGTTTAAAAAAAAAAAATTGCCAGGAGAAATTCAGTGGGTGTTAAGTAGTCTGCAGCTGCAGCTCTGATGCCTTATGTTAAAATTCCCCCTTTTTTGCAGGACTTAGTGCCTCACTATGTTTATCATACTAAAAATGGGCAGCAGTTTTCTGTCCTTCTGAGGTGCAAAACAAATGAAAGGACTTTTAAAACAAACTCCCTCAAATTTTTGCTTAGCTACTTTGCAGCCTTTGGTCATCCAAACGTTGTCTACCCTTTAATATAGAAAATCCAGTGTCAGTATTTTTGAAAACTTTTTTTCAAGAATCTCCAAAAGTTCAGAAGGATTACATTCCTTAATTTATTGGCAAAAATGGACATAGGAGAAAAGTATGGTTGGTAATAATTATAGAGCAGCTGATTGCCAAAGCATGCACAATTAAGCAGACATTCAAAAGCTTTCTCCGACTATATAGTCCAAGTCAAAGAACTGCTGGCAAGCAGCTGGTTAATAATTATTAATGGGCTTGGTTTTGCTAAAGTAGCCCAAAGAAATAGACTCAGGATTAAGCAGAAAGCAATCAAAAGTTGCATTGTCAAAGATTAAATTTACACCTCCCCCCCTCTCTGTGTGTGTGTGTGTGTGTGTGTGTGTGTGTGTGTGTGAGACACAAGTGATAAAGCATGTATTTATAATGCACCCATAGTTACAGAAATCTACAATTTTTTTTTTAAAAAGGTACGTGGAATTAAAAAATAATTATCAGAGGCAATTCTCTTATTAAAGGAAAAGTATAATCATTTTCTAAAAATACATTAAGGTGCAACACAGAAAAACAAGTAAAACTTAGCCTGCATTAAGAACCTGCTCTTTTCAGGGAGCATCGGTTCCATAATCACAGGAAGAAAATTGTGCAACCAGTATTGGGCTTAAAATAGATGCAGTGCAACTTGAAACAAAAGCTAAATTATTAAAACTACTAAACCCAAGTCCCAAGTATTGCAGCTCTCCACCTTGACTCTCAAAAACCCACCAGCGTCAAAAAGATGCCCATCCCTGAAACAAAGGAACCAACCCGAGTTTCGTGCTCAGTATGTCTCAGAACAGGTTTAGCCTTGCGAGAACTTGATGTGCTGAGAGGCAACAGTCCAAATCTTAAAAAAGAAGAAACAGGATGTTTTAGTTGCTTTCCACTTTCAGATGCTTTATTTTTACAGAACATGTTTTTTTATTGCTTACAGGTCTGAGTCACTTACCTGATCTGGCTAGAAGTTAGAGGTAGGATGTTATGTAGTTTTTGAGAAGTTAAAGCACTGCTTCTGCTCGTGTACTGATTCTCTGTTCCTGACAATAAGCCAAACAGGACCTAGAGGACAGAAAAGAGAGAACCGTCTGGCCTCAATAGAAGAACATTTAGCTATTAAGTGCCCATTCAACTATAAAGTCATGTTATTTTAAAAAGTAGCATGAGGAATACATGTAGCTTAAAGAATGTGCTGTAATTATTACGTACAATGCTTGAATAAGTGACAGTATCTCTCCGCCCAGTTGTGTTACCAGTTTGAGCTGGAGTTTCCAAAGATCAACATACTGTGTGGGGCCTATGATTTTACCAGATTACATCTATTCAGCCTTTTGGGGTTTCCTTGCTTATGGCTATTCAGGGAAGATAGTACTTCTAATGAGAACATATAGCTAATTGTAAGTCATTGCACTGTTTAATTAAAAGATGATCAAAATAAGCCATTCCCTATATAGGTAGTTCTTGGTTAATAACCACTTGTTGTTCTGCCCCAGCTACGGATCCCAAAGAACACAGCACACACAAACTCTGAACAAAACTTAGTTTACTCAAATAATGCAGTTTTAGCAAATGCCGGCTGTTAATAAGCGTTCTTAACAGCCTGCCAGAATTCCACAGATAAGATAGTCAGTGTCTTACTGGAGTTGGCAGAAAGCCCAGAAGCAAGGTTGCAAAGAAATCCCAACGTGATGATTAGAGAACTAAAATTGTTTCCTGCAGCTTGTTACAAGCTGCATTCTTTCTTAAATAGGCTAAGGGCGTGGCCAATTAGCCCCAAGCCTTACTCTCGAGGAGATCTCCTCCTGAGGAACGACTCCTGCCTTTTGGCAGCTCTGCATGCTCATGCATTGAGAAAAGGCTCCTCTTCATCCTCTTCACTTAAAGGAGCCTCTGGAGGTTCTGAAGGCCCTGACTGAATCCCTGCCTCTGGCACCACATCTTCTTCAGCCTCCTCGCTGTCCGACTCAAGCGCCGGCTGCACAGGCTGCTAGTGCAGCACCACACCAGCCTCCTTGTCGTCGGGATCAGCAACAATCCGCTCAGGCCGCTGGCGGGCCACAACACTTGTTCCAGAACTGCTCCAAGTTACAACAGCGCTGAACAAGTGACGGTTACCACCAGTCCTCAAAGTTCCGGCCATGCCAGCATCCCCACAATCACATGATCACAATCTGAGTGCTTGGCAACCAGCACCCATTTACGACAATTGCAGCATCCTGCAGTAAAGTGATCGTGGTTTGTGATCTTCCCTGCCAGCTTTGCCCAAGCAAAGTCAATGGGACAGCCAGCAGGGAAGGACACAAGGGTAAGTCTCTCCCACTGACACCCTCTTCCCCAGCCCTGTTGTGCTGGCCACCCGCACAATCTCATACAACATCTTGAACTTTGCTACGCTTGCGCCATGTCTTCTGAAGGCTTGCAAGCAGGCCAGCAGACAGTTTTGGTGGCTGCTGCCAGGTGTGTGAAGAAGTGTGGCTGGCCACGTGTGCATTTTCTCTCACCATTTACACACTCATGCTCACTCAAGGAGCAAGCTTGCAAGCTTCCTTGGACTTGGACCATCTGCCAGTTTACCCACCAACTTTGATTGTTGGAAGCCAGCAGGAAGTTATGTGGGGCTTGCTTAACGATACATGGTCCTCACTTAACAATGACGATGGGAACTGCAGGGATTCTTCTTGATAAGTGATGTAGTCCCCTGACTGTTGTACTTTATGACTGCATCGCTCAGTGATGGAAATTCAGATCCCAACTGCTATCGTAATTCAAGGACTACCTGTACTACTATCTCATTCTTCATTTTTAATATATGATTTGGTTATTAAATCATATAGGTAGTCCTTGACTTACGACCAGTCACTTAGCAATGAAATTGCTTAACTCTGGCGTTCGCTTAACAACTGCCACAAAACAATGTTGCAAATAATGGTTGGTTAGATGACCATCAGGACATACAACCATAACGGGCAGGCTCCATCATGGTTGTATGTCGAGGACTACATGTATATAAAAGCAAAGTGCATTGCACAGTTTATGGATGTAATGGTTGTTTAATTAGTATTATCATTTCCACTTGGAAAATTAGTATTATGTTCTTCCAACCAACATAAATAGGCATATATGATCTAAGACAATAAAATCTATTTGGAACCATCTACATTCTCTCCCTTTGAACTTACAGAGGTTCGTTGTACCAGATGATTAAGGTTACTATTTAAGTGAGGAGTAAAAACATCCAAATCGAAAGGATCTATATAGCTCTCAAGAGCATCAATCTGTTTCTCAATCCTGAAACAAAGAAAAATAATCTCATTTACAATGTTGAAGGGCTGCTCCTCTTGGGTAGGCAAATGATCTTTGCAGTCCTTTGCAAATAAATTAATTTTACCAGATGGGGGAAAACCCCATCATAGCCCAACGTATAAAAACTTAATGAAATTAAACAATTTCCAACTATTTGTGAAATGGAATGTCAAATATTATATCTTGAACTAAAATAATCAAACACTGCTCTTTCCCTTAATGCAGTCAGAAAAACTTTTGAACTGATCATCTATTAGCCAAAGATTAAAGATATTAAAAATGTTGCAGATTCATCCAATAAATTACCTTGATTAATTTTCCCTTCCATTTTTCTAGAACACTATAGCATACTGATTTTTTAAAAAAATATTTACTTGGTCAAATTTCAGCCAAATTAATTTCCTGAAATTCCGGTTCAG